GCTGTTTCTTCTTTGTTGAAACTACCCCAAGCAGTCTGCTGGACACGCTGTTAAATATACGGAAACGCACCCAAATGGATGCACTGCAACAACCACAATATGATATTATCACGATACTTGGGCCACGATATGATATCATTGCGATATTGGGCTACGATTCGATATAATTACAATACTTGGGCTATGATACAATATTATCACGATACTTGAGGCACAATACGATATTATCACGATACTTGAGCCACGATACGATATTATCACGATACTTGGGTCACAATATGATATTATCACGATACTTGAGCCATGATACAATATTATCACGATACTTTGGCCACAATATGATATTTCCATGATACTTGGGGCACAATGATATTATCACGATACTTGAGCCACGATACGATATTATCGCGATACTTGGGTCACAATATGATATTATCACGATACTTGGGCCACAATATGATATTATCACGATACTTGAGCCAGGATACGATATTATCACGATACTTGGGTCACAATATGATATTATCACGATACTTGGGCCACAATATGATATCATTGCAATATTGGGCTACGATTCGATATAATTACAATACTTGGGCTATGATACAATACTATCACGATACTTGGGCAATGGTACAATATTATCACGATACTTTGGCCACAATATGATATTATCATGATACTTGGGGCACAATGATATTATCGCGATACTTGGGCCACGATACAATATTATTGGGATTTTTAACATTTTGCACTAAAATACAATATATTTTGTTTTACAATTTTTTTAACTATATCTAATTTAGCGTTTGTCTTACCCTTATGATTGTCTTATTTACGCTGTATTTTTTTTTCATGACGCACACATAATCTGTGTAAGTTTCCATTATATGAAGAAATCTCTCAGCCCTTTATTTGACTTTTCCTTTGCTGACTATCCTCACATGCAGCACACCTTCCTCCTGTATCTGCAGAGCTCTGACCTGGTTCAAGAAATCTGAACCCTGAATAATCGATCGGTATTTTTTTTCATGCATTTCCTGAGGATTGCTCCTGCAGCTCTGTGTGGTTGATTTCCACAGTGTTTGAAGTGTGCAGTATTCTTGTTTATTAAATATTTGGTGGTTTCACACACTCAGGAGACTCAATGGGATAAATTTAATTTCTACTTTAATTAAAATTTTAAAATATATATCTTTCGACGGGTATTTTGACCCATTAGGTGATCAAACCCTTCACTGTTCCAGTGTGGGAGTCCATTAGGCTGCATATGACCAAAGCGATGACCTCCACTCTCTGCATAACCTTTAACAAACATGAGAGTCAACAGAGCGGCCTCGTGAGGGCGATTGCCTGCAAAGAGACCTTGATCTCAGGGTCGTACATGGAGCACGGACATGCATCGACTTCTTGCACAGTGCATGGATTGTTTTTGCAAAAGCGGAGAGCACAGTGATGGAGTGGGTTTGTGTCCAAACTAGCCCTCCCTGTGTTGAATATTCGCTCTGGTTTGAGTCTAAAGCAGCTGACTTCTTTGTGTCAGAGTAACCGGAGAAAACGAGGATGTGAAGACTCCATCTTAACTCTGCAGACATAAGGGCACATTGACTAAAACCTTCTGTGATTATCAACCACCTGTCAACGGCTCGTCTGCCTTCCTTGTGACTCAGACGTCTAAAGAGCAAAGAGAGGTCTTGTTTGTGAGAGCCGCGATCATGACACACAACTCCGCCAAACTCCCAGGGCTGCCTGAGCGGAGGCTGACAGGCGACTAATGAGTCTCGACGAGGGCTCCTTCGCAAACAGCCTCATGAATTAGTCATCGCCTTCTCCTGACCTGTGCCGCGATACCATCTGAGGCAGCGCGGCACTTTCTCAAGGACCGAGAGGTTATGTCCGTTTTCAAGAGATGGCGGGCTGATGCAGAGAGGACGCAGACGGAGTTAAAGACCAGCAGTCAAGAGCGGCAGAGTTGTGACTGATGGTGGCAATCTGCTGTTAACATGCGGGTCAAGTAAATATGTTTGAGTACCACACTGCAGATCTGTCTTTGGCTGTTTCTCCATTGAATTCAAGATCACAAAACCGCTCTGCAAGTGCAACAAGTGACTGATCTGGATCACAGATCATGGATTAGTATCAGCATTGACAATCAAGAGTTCAGAAACAAGTAAAGTGCGCATCAATATCGATCGAACGCAAAGTTGACTAGGGACGCCCATATTCTGAGTCCTCAAAGAGAGGACACAACTACGCTGGGTGGAGTCGCAAACAAAATTTTGAGGATTTTTCAGATCGGGTCGAGTTTTTTTTACTGTTCAAAACCTCGAACATTTGAAGTATTTAATAAATTCCCCCCAGACAGGATAGACAGTCCCCAAAAAGAGGATATGTCCGGGTAAAAGGGGACGAATGGTCACACTAGTAAAAATGACTCCGACTCCGTAAAAGTTTGGACGCTTTTCTTAAAGTCTACTAAACCAGAATTTAGAGGTTTAGAGCTTAAATTTGGTAAAACTCGTGCAAAGTCAACAAATTAAATCTAAAGCTGTAAGTGGTTATATGTAAAAATATATGCAAGTTTTTAGGGGTAGGAGAAAAAATCGATTCACATAAGTATCGTGATTTCTTGTTCAACAATTTTTATATTCTAAAATTTATTAAATTTTTTCAAATTTCAGAATAAATCTTAAAAACTGACTTACATGAGGTGTGTATTTTTAGGGGAATGTGGTTCCTGGAATAGTCGGTAGACAATCATAATCATTCAGCTGTTTCACTGGAGTTAAAAAATCGTGAAAACCGACTATCGTAGAATCACATTTTAAATCAAATTGGCATCCAAAAAATCGTGGAAGAATCGAATCGGGACAAAGGCATATCTACTAGTTTTGTATTTAAATTAAGTTGGGGCAAACAGGGTGGTGCCGTAACTCTTTAAGGTGAAAGATGCAGCGTCCATGATTTCCAAAAGAATGTCGGATTTAGATCTAACACACCCAAGGACAGTTTTTAACTTTTGTAAACGCAGAATGATTGACCAAAAATAAAGGAGGAGGCTGAAACTCAAATCTAAAAATGTAAGATTCTTTTTGGAGATCATCATCAGCTTATGAGAAAGAAAAGAAGAATTCAGTGTCCTAAGATTTCCAAAAAATATACCAAGTGTTGATTCGTCAGAGTTCAGGACAGCTTTCCACCGTTTCTGGATCATGTTTGCACGGTTCAGGTTTCAACAATCTAAAACGTTCATGCAGTGATTTCCACCACAGAGCCATGGCAGTTTTTAATGCAATAATAAAGTTCTCAACCATCTAGTGTTGGTTTGGGTCCATCACAGAAGTTTTCGACATTTGTGTTTTAAATATTGAATTCAAAATTAGCAAAAATCTTTACTTTTCCAATCAAAAATATAAATTTCTGATTGGATATGTTCTCTGCTTTACTTTTAACATCACGCTCCATGTTCTCCGAGCGTCTGTTTTTTTACACATTTGACTGAAACTTGTGATTAGACTCGAACCATCGATCTCGGACGTGCGTCTCTTTTGATGGCGTGTGCGCACAAACAGTGACATGATCACTGCGTTCATAAACAGAGGAGGTCTTCCACATCCTTAAACTCAATTACTTCAACAATATGCCATGCTAATGGAAAAGTACGATTGCTAATTCATTACCCTCTCATGTTTTATGATGCCTGCAGTAATGACTGCACATTATAATGTAACCAAAGGCTCTTAATGAAGAGAATCTAATGTAAAGAGGTCCACAGAGCACGACATGAAGTGTAATTATTATGTCCTGTGATGAAAAATGACGCTGGTGAAAAAACAAACTGGGTCACATTTGTGCCACACAAAGCTCGGCGTAATTTCAGATCAATGGAGTTATTTCCCCCGTGCTTCACGAATAATAATACAGATCTTTTCATAAATATAAATTCTCCTTTTTTATACCATCCCGGACAATAATAACACGGCTTTTTACCCCGAATGATGAAACGAAGCCTTTTGTTGTTCAGAACACAAAAGGAACCAGAATAACAAGCAAAGAGGAGCAACCTACAAATTATACACCCATGGATGTATGTGTGATACGCAGAGGGTGTCGTGGTCAAGATCATCAATAGAACAAACAGAAATATCATAATTACCATAATAAAGATCGCAGGAGAGAACCAGGACCATGAGGCCTGCAGTAGGGATGTCAAGATTCACAGATTCATATCGTTGGTCCAATACAGACGTTTGCGATGCAACTGCACCGGTCGATTCAAGGAGCGTCGGATATAATTTACAGGTGAATTCGCGGTGCATCTCTTCTAGCCTGTCTGCACCTCAGGCGCTGACGCAAACAGCTGTTGTACACAACAAATATGGAGGCAAACGGTAGCAGCGACAAGATATTTAATGCACCAAAAAAGACACGAAAAATCAAATGTGTAGCAATATTTTGTGTTTTTCGAGCAAGGAGGTCAACTTGACCAGACGCACGCAATTTGCAAACAATACCGTGCGGCTTCTGAGTGCGTCAGCAGCACAACGAACATGGTGACGCACATGAAAAGACGGAATTGTGCTTTTCAGGTGAGAAACCTGATGTGGGCAAATACTCTCTCCTACGGCTACCAACTGTATCGAACGATCACATAATATCAAACCGAATCCCTTTTATAATTATCAAATCATTTTTTAATTGCATCGTATCGAGAACAGGGGTGATTCATATCGCATCGTATTAACGGGAGCTCTAGTGTATCGTTATTGTTCCGTATCGGCGGCAGCGTATCCAGATGCATATCGAATCGGCCTCAGTGGTGGAGATAAACATCCCTAGTCTGCAGAGTCCGAGTTTTTTCTGTCCTCAAAGACGAAGACTGACCGTCAAAATGAAGCTAAAACACGAAGTCTTAACAGGTCGCTGAAACATCGGTTTATCCTGACAGGTCGGAATCAAAGGTGTCCTCGGCTCTCTCATGAAGGTATGATGGTTGAAAAATGGCGTACCGGCGTCTCTACCATGTCACGACACCGTGTGTGAAGTGTGAAGTGGTTTCTCACAGTGCAAATCAGGGGAGAACGGCGACACATTCATCACAGATTTTGAGATACCCGTCTGAGCAGCCGCGTAATCGTTGCGCTCGCACATGCACAAAGGGTCATGTGGGACGTAGGACCGCCCGAGAGAGCATCACTGCCCGCTGTGCCTGCGAAGTCACACCAGAGTCACAATCTGTGCCGCTTCTGCTCGGCGAGGCGTCGGCGGGCCGAGACAGATGGGAGAGAGAGAGTGTCATCTGGTCACACGGTGGCGAAGAGGGCGACAGGGCGACCTTTGTGTAATTAGATAGATGGTCTCTGTGGGTTCGGCTGGTGTGCTGACACTGAAACCTGTGGCTATGAGGGAACGGAGCAGATCTCTGCAGTCAGACACCGAATACGATCTTTTACCTGAACAGAAGAAGAAGAAGAAACGAACAGAAATTCACAGATTCAGACGTTTGTTTTTACTGGATGAGATGGTTAAAATCTAAAACACACAAAAAAAGAATTACTCTGTGTGTCGCAGCACATCTTCGCACCGGCAATCCTGCACCCTCCACAGCAAAACTGCACAGCACCAGTTTTTGCAGGATACCAGGGTACGGATTCTCAATCAGCACAGGAAGTCGGACACTGACGAATCGTTAAAGGGATTTTTGAAGTGAGGATGTGTAAGTTAGACGTCGATCTACCTAAAGAACCGGCACACAAGCGAGGCTACAGCTTACGACATATGGGGCGAACTTTTTCATGTAACTAATTTGGTTTTAGGAGTTCAGCGTACACTTAAATAGGGCTGCAGATATAACTAATATTTTAGTAATCCAGTGTTCTATTGATTGATCGAGTAATCGGATAAAACATATTTTTTTGTTAGAGTGCAATTATTGCGGAACAAGTGTGTGCGGTGGTGGATCGAAATGCTCGATAGTTCCTCGATCATTTTTTGTAATCGAGGAATCGTTTTAGTCGTTCCGATCTGCAGAGGCCCAAAAGGTTAGCATGAGGAGAACGGAAGTGCAGACTCAAAATCAAACGCAACAATCGCGCTAAAAGTAAAGTGAGACAAAAAGAGACTGCATTCACAACAATGATACAAATCCAGAGAGAAAAGGACAAACTGAAGGCATGAGGATGAGAGCTGACAACTCCAGGCCTGTAGGGGGCGCTCAGTGCAGTATTTCATTATATTCATCTTGAGCTCTTCCTCCATCACGACTCTGCAGGTGTTTTCATGCATCTGCAGCCTGTTTGCTGTTTCTGCAGCACGCTCATTGTTGCTTTTGTTTTCAGACATTTGCACGTCTTTGTTAATTATCAGGACTTTTAGCACGTCGCTCTTAATGAAGATCTTTTGGCCATCACTGTTAAACCCTGGGGAGGGAGAAGTCCCCACTCCAAAAAGCACCACGTGTGTCTGTTTGTGTGCCGCAGAAAGACAAAAATCAGAAAAACAGGAACAAAAGGTTCGTGTGAAATAATCAAAACACGTCTATTAGGGTCCGTTTGGATTAAAAACAGTGTTTCATTAGGAACCAAACAGCCTCAGACACACTTAGACCCTCCACTCTTCCTCTTTATTAATGTAAAATACCGTCAATACCTTTAATATTCAACTTTGACAAAGACAGGTCTGCTCTCAGAAATGCAAAGATGTTTTTTTTTTTCATGATTTTTGTAAACCTGGAAAAACGGAAACACCGCTCTCGTAAATCAATGACACACGAGCACAGACGAGCGCGCGTACAAACGCCAGCGTCTCATGCATGAATATTATCGTGTTGTTTCTGAGGCCGTTTACTTCCAAAATGAACATTTGGATATGGAAATGGAAGTGGAGCTGCTGCGGCGGCGGCGGCGGCGGCGGCAGAGGAGGAGGCCTCATAAATGTAAAGTGGATGGATTTCAATGAGCATAAATATCTCCCTGAATGAATCCAAATCACCTCCTCTGCACATGTTCAATGGACTTTTTCATACGCTGATGCCCTCTCTCCGTCAATAGTAAACCCATTATTTGACGTCTGCTGTCCGTCAAAGTCAGCGCCCTGCTCGCTCGCTCTCTCTCTCTCTCTCTATCTCGCTCGCTCTTTTTTTCTCTCGCTCTGTGGGCAAAGGGTAATATTTGCTAATGAGTTGCTTTGCTGCTGCCATGGCAACAGGCCCATGGCAGCAGAGTGTGAAGCAGGAGTGGCACCCCTGACACCAACCCGTAAAGCGAGCCACCCGGGCTGCTGATCTGGGATGCATAATGCAGCGCCAGAACCCCCATCCAGACGTCTTTCCCTCTGTCTGTCCGTCCGTCCGTCCTCCATTCTCCCCAGTCAGCTGTTCCATCTGGTTTAATCACATCTACTGGGGCGCCTTTGTGCCCTCGTCACCCCCTGAATCTGAAACGAGGAGAGAAACAATGGCAGAAGCTGATCAAACGACGAGGTATAAAAAATCTACTCCGACCGTTCCAGCCTGGACCTCGAACAGAATCATCGTTTTCATGCGGTGACTTCAGACCAGTGTCGTTGACGTTGACGAAAATATTTTGTCAATGTCATCGTCAACAAAAACAACACTGCAGAATATATGTTTAGCGTTTGATTGACGAAATGCTCATTGATTTCGCAACTCTGTTCGTCGTCCATGACTAACGTTTTCGTCTCGTCAACGTAAACGCACATTTGACTAGTCACATTTTAGTCATCTAAGACTTATGTTTTGCTCGTCAACGTCACGTCTTTGTCGTGGAAAAAAAGGGGCGTCAACAAAAAACAACACTGCTCCAGACGACCACCAGGTTAGTGTTCGGTCTGATCCTGTTCGCCTCCTCATCCATCACCACCGTCCACCTTTTCAGAGCGATATTTCAGTGTTTTTTAGTGAAGCAGGAAGTGTTTAAGCCGCACTTGGTGTCTGTAAGCTCCGCCCCTTTAATGGGAGACTGCCTGGAGAACCAGCGCACAAACTAGACTACGGTTTCTGCACACAGAGCTAACAGGTAATTTAGTTGGTTTTGAAAGTATCAGACCCAAACATGCACCTTAGTTTAAGTGTTTTTTCTTGATTTTCTCTGCCTCAAGTTCTCGTTTATAAACTCAAATCGTCTGTTTTGCTCCGATTGTTTTCAAGGTGACACGACACGCTAACGTCACCACGGTAGAAGGAGGAGTAAGTGCAGAAAAATGAACGATTAGAGGAGCTTTTCTTCTGCAGAGCTTTGGTAGCTTACTTGGAATTCACCTCTGAGTTGTGGGCGGAGTCAGCGCTGCTCTGAACACTCCTCCTTACGCTAGCTCGCAGCCTAACATTGCCGGTGTAGTAGAAGTAGTAGTAGGGATGTAATGATATGAAAATTTAACATCACAATTATTGTGACCTTATTATCACGGTGATCAATATTATCACAGTATTGTTGAAATAAGTTTAAAATGTTAAAAAAGTATTTATACACGCCCTGAAATCATTTAACATCAAAATACAAGCAAAAATACGAACCGTCAAAGATTTTTACCGCTGCTTATCATTTTACCGGTAATCGTTACATCCCTAAGTAGTAGGTAACACAGGAGCTATTCAGCTTTGAGACACTGATGTTTTTTGGGGACATGATGAACGTTAATATCATAATTATTTTACGAGTATTACAATCCGCTAACGCAGACGCTTGTTCCACGATTGGTCCGCTATCCGATTAGTCGATTAATCGATGGAATATGTTTGGTAGAATACCTGATTACTAAAATATTCGATGTCTGCAGCTCTAAATTAAAGGGAGGATGGTCAGGAGCAGTTTCTGTGAGGTTTAGAGAGCGGAAACAAATATAACACTGGTTCCCCAGATGATCATTAAAACTGTAATTAAGATGTTTTAACGCTCAGTTTTTTAATGATATTATTTCGTCGGACAGGTGAAAAAGCACAACACAACCTTTACTGTTATTCAGCAGACTGGTCATGATTGACGGCGACCTTTTCAGGTTTTCTGACTCGTCCTTCAGGAAAAGATAAATAAAAGTATAAACCTAATTTTAGCTTTTAAACGGATTTAAAAAGTCCGAACCTTTTGAAGTCGACCGACACAAACTGTAACCTTCAAAACTTCCACTTCAAGGAGGCGAAAACAGCAAAACCGCCGCTTTCTTCTCCCTCCTCTGCAGACGTGATTGACGGCGGCTCAGCCCTCCGTCTCTGCAGCGGTGCAGCGTGGGAAGTGGAGGAGAATCTTCAATAACAGGTGATCACGTCTGAGCAAACAACATCAAACCAGAACATCCCGAACAGACGCGTCCGCAGCCTTTACATTCACATTTCAGCGCGCACAGCTGGAAAAGAGCCTCGCCCTTTCTGCCAGTGTGTGTGTGCGTGCGTGCGTGTGTGTGTGTGTGTGTGTGATCCCTCTAATGGAAAATGGTGTATAATAGGGAAGAGAGCTGGTGAGCTAATGAAAAGGGTAGCAGGGTGACATTTTCAGAGTGAAGTCTGGAGTGAGATGACATTTACAGAGAAGAAGCCCCAAAGACAGTCCTTTAGGAAAACCTTCCATATATCAGGTTATCAGGAGGAGGCGGCAGCGATCTCAGCTGGCAGAGCTTCACTCTTCTGTTCGGATCGACCGTGTTGGAGCAGATTTTTGTGTTCTTATTGTTGCTAAAGGTTTGTCTTAAAATACGTTTCTCTGCGTGGTTAAAATTTACCGACAAAACAACCGGCATGGACCAAAGCGCTGCAGCATTTATCAGGAAATCAGCTAAAAAGACAACCTTCAAGTAGGGCTGCACGATTTACAGATTTTAAACCATAAATAAATTAGTTGATTACGACGATGTTAAAAGAATTAAAATCCTCAAATTGATTTTCCTCTCTATCATGTCTCGCGCCTCCAGGCCACCGTAGGCTGCTCCTTCCAAACATGGCGTTTGCTAAAGAAGGCGATAATTTCGTGGTTAAATAGGACAAGAGCGACTTCACAGTTTCAGATGAAGAGTAAACCACTCCCCGCTGTAAAGTCTGTCTGAAGGCGGTATCAACCCGTCACCATGGAAACGAATTCAGGAGGAAACGCTAAAGTTTTTTGTCATATCGGCGTTTCAGGTGACTGTAAACGGTACTTTTTGAAAACGGGTCAGAGAGTGAATAAATCTGTAAACGACGACCATTTCATCTCCGTGTGGATGTCTATCTGCATCTCTGGAAACGATCATGTGACACACAGAGAAACTCTTTTATGGCGCCAAAACAACCTTCATGCTCTGTACTCTTCTTCGTTACAGCGCCACTTACTGGCTTGGCATGTGCACTACATCGTTTTTAGTGGTTTTGCTTTGAGAGATAAAAGAAAACCTTTTTATTTTTAAAGTGAAGTTCAATAAAAAAAATCGAAAATCGAGTTTACAGAAAAAAGATCTGGACTTTATTTTTGGCTGAAATCGTGCCGCAGACCTACTTTCAGTTCAGTGTCAGTAGAGCAGGAAAGATCGTCTCCTTTTTCCAGGTTCTCATCAACATTTCTGGTACATTTGACGACAGCAACGCCTCACTGCGCGTTCAGTTTGTGAAGAGCTTGTTCAATCAGACGTGGTTAAAATTACAGACTTTTATCCATGTACTGTAATCCTCGTCTTGTCTTCTGTCATCGCTAACTTTGTTAATAAGAGAGGGTTCTTGTCAAAAAACAAAATAAAGCACTAAAGCTTTAAGTTTGTAGGAACTCTTGCAGGAAAAAGTTCGATATATTTGGACTTTTAGTCCGAGCAACTTCTTCAACTTCATATCTTTGGTTCCTTTGGTTTTAACAGGAATATTTCTGCAGTTCAACACTCTGTGGTACCTTTTCAGAACCAGAATATGGACCTAAACTGGAGTAAGATGTGGATGTAAACAAAGTCTGTGATTCAGTTCACACTCCTCTCCTTTTCTTCTTCTGCAGTAAATACCCGTAACTCTAGATCTGTATATCTACGTGGAGAGGCTGTAGTATAAAACACACACTGAAACTTTGACCTTATAAGTGACAGGCATTAAAACACACACACACACACACACACACACACACACACACACACACACACACACACACACACACACACACACACACACTCTCCTTTCACTTAGAAAGGTCAGACACTTTAATCGTCTCCTGTGCGAGCGTCCTTTTTTGCCCGAACCTTCATCCGACGCGGCGTTTCCTGTCAGAAGTTTGACATTTCTTTAACATCAAAACGGAGTAAATTCCTTCTGATCGAACTTTTTAAAACCTCGACCGACTCTAAGGTCACGCCAAGAGCGGCGCCGCCTCCAAAACTTCATCAGACGTTCTCTCAAAGTTGAACAATGTGTCCGGACGTTCGACCGAATGTGTCTAAAGTTGCGTGAAATCCTCTCGGAGGAGCGTGAGCGGGTTTCTCACAGAGGACGCGTCCACAGGGAGGGACCGGAGTCGTTGGAGAGACTCGGATGAAGGCGGGGAACTTTCCTCGGCCACATGGGGAACTTAATCAGGACAGCTCTGTGAGACTGCGGCGGTCTCCGGAGAGCGGAGGATCGTGGCTCTGAACCTTTGAAGTCCCGTCCAGTGGGCCGAGTATTTCCCTCCGAGATAAAAACACTAATCGGCGTGTAACGACGGCGGCCCGACAGATGTTTTCTGAATTCTGTATTTGCTTTAGATAATTTGGGGCTCAGGCCAAGAATCTGGAGACGGTCTGGAAGAAACGCCGAGTCGAGTTTCTTTGAGGGCCGAGGGTCAAACAGATTGAATTTTCATCGCTCTCAAACCCGTTAATGCAGTTTGGAGCAGATGTTGGTATTTAATGTTGGATTTCTATGAACTGTAAGAGCTGCAGGAGTATAAAGGAATGTGTCTGAACAATAATGTTGGGACTTTAAGAAGTTCTGTCTGGAAATCTGGAAAAAGAAAGTCAAACATAAACGGGCGTAAGAGGGTCGGGTTTGGGCTCCTCTGGATTTTCAAACAACGTAACATCTATGAGCATGAATGATGAGGTAAAATGAGAAATTCTTGATCAATAGTTCCACCACCGGAGTTTAGAGCAGATAATGTCATCCAAATCTCTCCTGATTGGGATTTCAGTCTTCTTCTGCAGATACGGCGTCCACGATTTCCACCGCTCTGTCCCGGCTGATTCTCAAAATACGTTAACATGACACTTGAGAATTATTGCCTTATTCCAATTAAGACCGGACAACTGAAGTGCATGTAAACACTCGGGCCCAACCGATATTGATTTTTTGGGGCCGATGCCGATACCGATTATTAGGGAGGAAAAAATCTGATTATGGATTAATCAGCCGATTTTTTAAATTTTTAAGAAGTTTTAAAAAATCCATATATCCTGTAGATATACTTTAGGCTACTGCTCTTAATGCCGACAGGAAGACAAAGTGATCATCTCAGTAATATTCCACGCCATCTACAGGATAAGTTGGGGAACTTTTCAAATGGCGGGACATTTTCTTAGTGAAACCGAATCTTATTCTCCGCATTTTATTTCTGAAAATATTGGCGAAAATCGGCAAGTTTTGGCCGATTACAGATTAGTCTCAAACAAGCTAAAATTGGCCGATAAATCGGTCGGGCCCTAGTCACCTTAGTCCGACTATAATCGGACTTTGAGAACTCCGATTAAGACACCCAGATAATGAGATTGGAATTCGATTTTCTCTACCATGTAACCAGCGTAGTCGGAGTATGATCGGACAATGCATGTACACCACGCCCCCATAACCCCAGAACAAAAACCCCAGAGTAGAGGAGTAGCGTTGGTCTCCTCTTTAGAAAAAGTAGCGCGTCCATCATGTCGGACAAAAACAACGCTGTACGATGCTCCATCTTCTTGTTTCTCCAAAATGCCCAGCAGCAGTTGTAGACACTTCTGACGTCTGACACCGACCTGCTGTTGTTGTTGACGGTTGTATGGGGTCGGAAACAGCGCCGCTGAAAAGACCCATATCGCCCCCTAGTGTTGGGGAGGAGGACACGTTCACGTCAATAATTCGATTTTCTCAGCTGCATGTAAACGAGGACGAGGAGAGAAGTCTGATTGATTTCTGAGTTTAGTCTGATTAAGCTGTGACTGTAAACACACGTAAAAGGACGTCGTTATTTTCTCTGATACTTTCATACACCCAGACCTCTTCAGAGCTTGAATCTCCACCTGTTACTCTGACGAATTCTCATGCAGATCTGAAAAACACTCTCGTAAATGCACATCCATCTCTTCTGTTCATGCATTTTCCCTCTTTACCTCTTTGTCTCCTCCGTCACTCTCTCGCTTTCTTTCTTTCTTTCGCTCTGTGCCGGCGGTAAAACCATTTCAAGGTCCTGTAGCGCAGGAGTAGCTGTCATGTCGGCGCTGTGCGGTGCAGAGGAGAGGGTCTTGTTTACCGCTGAACAAACGACAAGGCCGCGCAGACACATGCACTTATGTAAACACACGGCGGGATGAGGCAGCCTGCACAAGGACGGACGTGTTGACTCAGAGACACATGCATCAGTCAAGACGGAGACAAATATTGACACACAGATATGTCTCCATATATATATACTCTGTTCAGCTTTGATGATCCACACGGGTGAGCGTCCGTCTCTTCTCTGAATAAAACAGAACTAAAGGAAGCGTCACACGTGGCGTTGGTTTTCTTCGGTACGTTTTGTGCCTCTAAAGTGGTCTGAAGTGTCATCAAAGAGCACGGCGTCCCCGGTGCTGCATATTAATACGATGTTAATATTATGTTAATGATATTATAATCACCACTCATTTTCTCCACTTTGTCACGAGAAATTCATTACATGGCACAGGAAGTGATACTTGGCGCCCCAAGGTGCATTTTGTGCACATCACGCGTTCCCTGCCATGAAATATACATTTAGTGTTCGGGGAATTTAGTGCATGAAATGCAGCGTGAGACATTTGGTGCTCCATATTATCACAGCGATATGACTGGTAATGAGGAGGGCGCCGAGGAAAGAGGCGCGTTAGCGAGGAGAGGAATGGCAGAGGAAGTCGGGGATTTGTTTCCTCTCAGCTCAGCGTTCAGCAGATCCATGTCCTCAGACATACAAACAGTCTTTGTGAGCCGCTGCTGCTGCTGCTGCTCTCAGGGTTTCCCCCTGACAAACTAACTGGTCATCTTCTTGTTTGCTCCTTTGTCAAATCTTTGACCCAGTTTTTCACCATGTTGTCTTCAGCAAATTCAGGGTCTTTCCCAGATCAGAGAGAGAAAACGGCTAACTGTGCGTGCACTGGGCGTGTATTATTCTCATTTTTTATCTTTTATTTCAACATCCCACATGACAGATTTCTGCCCTTAACTGACTTTAATTCACACTTGAATTATTTTTAGGCATTTCTAACGTAAAGTTATTGTCTGGATGGACGCAGATGTTGTTCCTAAACCTGTAGATATAGTTCAGCAGTAACTCGTCTGTAGAGTAAAGATTGGTTGTTCAGGGTTACTGCAGTCTGACAGTCTGAGTCCATCCTCTGACTGCTTTCCAACGAATCTGTATCTGAGGGCTCAACCTCAAGAGGAACACATCCGCATCCATGTATCATGTTTTATGTATAACGCTGACATCCAAGTATTACACAACCTTTCCTGCATCATAGTATATCTGTGTATCTCACCATTACCTTTGTATCACTCGTTATGTGTGTCACACCATTATGTATCAAGCGCCCTTTATGTATCACATTCTTTGTGTTACGCCAACATCAGTGTATCACTTGTCATTTCCTGTATCACTCTGTATCCATTTATCACACCACCACCCATGTATCAAGTGGTCTTGTTAGAACCCAGAATGTAACAATGACCCAAAATGTAACAATGACCCAGAATGTAACAATGACCCGAGATGTAACAGTGACCCGTAACAATGACCCAAAACACAACAATGCCGAAAATGTTACAATGACCCAAAATATAAGAATGACCTGAAACGTAACAATTACTCAAAACGTAAAAATGACGCAGAATGTAACAATTACCCAAAATGTAACAATGACCTGGAATGTAACAATAACTTGAATTGTAACAATTACTCAAAGCATTACAATGACCCAAAACGTAACAATTACCCGAAATGTAACAATGTACTGAAATGTTACAGAAACAAATGTTATAAAGCCTGAAATGTAACAATGACACGGAATGTTATAAAATCAAATATAACAATGACCGAAAACACAACAATTACCCGAAATGTAACAATGACCTGGAATGTAACAATGACCCGGAGTGTTATAAAATCAAATGTAACAATGACCCAAAATATAACAATAATTTGAATTGTAACAATTACTCAAAACATTACAATGACCCAAAACGTAACAATTACCCGAAATGTAACAATGAACTGAAATGTTACAGAAACAAATGTTTTAAGCCTGAAATGTAACAATGACTTCAAATGTAACCAGTTGCTTCATTTTGAGCAAAAAGTTGTTAAGTTTTTTTCTTAGCATCTTGTTACAATATTATCTTGTTGCATTTAGTTTTTAATTACACTTTCTTAACCAACATTTTGGGTCATTGTCACATATCAGGCTGTAACGGGTCTTTCCTGTATCACGTTAAATCCATGTTACTACACTGTCGTCTGTCATCATGACGCCGTCTAGCCTTTCCTGTCACTCCACCAACCATATATCTCATAAACTTTGGCATACACCCCTGTCTGTATGACACCATCCATGTATCTTCTGATATTGAACTTCTCTGCAGTTTAGTTTTAACATCCAATATCAGAACATTATTTATTTGTCTTTAAGTACAGGTAATCATGTCAATATTTAGTGTTTTCATTCACTCTCTCTTTCTTCTTGTACTTTAAACCTTAATAAAGTCAGTGATCACATAAAAAACAGTTTTTATTTTCACTCATTTTCAGTCGAGCTCATAAAGAAAACTCTCTTCCACTTGTTCGTGTTTCCATCAGCCGGCTCTCTAAAAATCAGAGAAATGACTCCATAATTCAGAGTTCGCTCTCCAAGTTCACTCCAATGTTTTCCTAACATGCTGCTCTGTTTATCTCAATCGCTCATTTCTGTTGTGCTGCAGACAGTTTTGGCTCAAAGGCGCTCAAATTTCGAAGCACATTTTGCCACAGAAGCTACACTGTCAGTGAGGATTACAGTATTTTATAGTCAAACTTCCCCCCCTGGGATGTCATTACTTTAAACCCTCCTGCAATACATCAATTTCTAATTAACATTTGCATACTAGATCGTCAGGGGGTGCCGGAGAGGAGGGGAGACTGGGTGCCGAGGACTCGCACGCATACATTTATGCTAATTAATTGAAATAAAATGAGCCCGGGGCTGCGGATGGGGCGGGGCGATGGAATGCTCCAACACCCGATGGGAGGGGCGGGTTCGAGCGCTGCCAGGGATGCCCGGTGCATCCAAAAACACCGGAGACCTGAAGAGCTGTGAAGGGTTTGTTTCTTCGTTAGATGAGTGACGTTTGTGTCAATTTAGGTCTAAAAAAAGACCAGGGAACAGACGAGCCGGATCAGAACGAGAACTTACTGCGCACCTTTTACTGTACTAATAAAGTCCTCTGACTCTGAATACTTTACTTCTATACTAGATGTCCTCACACACATTAATATTCATGTTAAACAGAGCCGTTCCTGTCCTCAGTTTGCTCTAGTGTTAAATTAAATCACTGAGATAGTGTGTGTGACGTTCAGAGAGTCAAACTGCGCTCTCCCTCGGGAAAAATCTCTGTAATTTAGGAGACGCCCGAGCCGAGCATTCATGCATCATTCCACAAATTTTCATTAAAATCCAATCAGCAGCATTGGGCTGATAAACAGGCGGGCTGAGGCTGATCTATAATCCCTCCCCTCAGTGCCGTCGCAGGAACTGTTGTCCAGCAGTGCAGTCAGATCATTTCCATGATAGGATCTTGGAGTGAGCGTGGAGGATTGGATGTACAGCACAGAGTGTGTGTGTGTGTGAGCTTGCATATGTTTGCAGGATGAGACAACAACATAAGTGAGGTGTCATGACTTTGCTGGGAGCCACAGGTCTGCAGAGACAGACGACGGCGTCTCCTTCAAGTGTTGTTGTTGTTGTTGTTGAATCTTCTGAGCCGATGATAATAAATCTGCAGACGTGTTAATGTAAGCAACTCTGAGTCTGAACTCCAGGCCAGATTTCAGGAGCTAAATTAAAACAACACTCTTCTCCTTAATGATCGCAGAAACATACAGGAGCTGCACAGGAGGGTGAACTACAGGTTATTTAGCATCCAGCTTTTATCACTCAAGTAAACACCCTCCTCGTTTTCTTCACTTGCTGAAAACAAACATTATGTTCATTAATATCTCAACTGCTCTTTATTAGTAAGTTTGCACCCAAAGCCTGGACCTCTACAGAAATGCACAGTGCAGCGCAATGAGTGCACGGACAACCGACAACTTTAAGACTAGCATAGTATCTTGATATTTTGTCTAGTGAGATATCGTATCGTCTCATTTACCTAAGTATTGATTTTTCAAATTAATTGCTAATAGGAAGTCAAATCTAGGATAATGGGGAAAAATATCAACTGTTTGTCCAGGGAGGTTTGGCAGAGGTGACATCATAGAGCAGAGGAAAGTTGGTAAAACAAATATAAATAAGGTTAGCAAGCTGTGCTACATGAAAATAAAATACAGCGTAAATAAGACAAACATAAAGCAAAGACAAACGCTAAATTAGCTAAACAGTTGAAAAAATTGTATAAATCGCAATATATTCTGTTTCAAGACTCATTGAATTGCACAATGTCAAAAATCATGTATCATGGCCCAAGTATTGTCATAATATCATATTGTGCCCCAAGTATCGTGATAATATCGTATCGTGACCCAAGTATCGTGATAATATCGTATCGTGACCCAAGTATTGTGATAATATCATATTGTGCCCCAAGTATCATGATAATATCATATCATGGCCCAAGTATCGTGATAATGTCGTATTGTGGTCCAAATATTGCGATAGTATCGCATCGTGGCCCAGCTATCGCGATTATGTTGTATCCTGGCCCAAGTGTCTT